TAACCTTAAAAAAAACAATGCTCATTTAATGTTCCATGTAATTGTCAATTGATTTTTCCATTTGATTCCCCATTATATAGGTTATGTCCCTATGTATCCCGACATACCCCGGCAAAGTGATCTAGGGTGTTCATTTGATTTCCCATGTTCTTCTCCATCTGACTCTCCATCATAGACGGAAATCGTCCTTAACCCTATGCAATCCTTCCACAACCCCTATATAATCCTTATATTGGCCTATATACCCTGATGCACCATTGGGGTTTAATCACGTGTCAGGCAATTCTTCTTCAACCATAGCCAGAGCTTTGCGGCCATTTTCTCGGAATTTGCAGAGGACTGCTAAAGTGTAATAGCAATAGTACCATCGCAACATACAGTGATATATAGTACTATATAGTAATAGAGACTAGTACATAAAAATGTATAGTGATAAATAGCGATGTACGGTAATATGTGGCGATTATGATAAAACATACAGAACCCGCCTGGATCGCAGATATTGGGAGGACCCGCGACGGGTGGAAGAGCAAGTGCTGTTGGATCGCTCCATCGTGCGTCCGCTCGAGCCAGTCTTTTTCCCAGCCGACCTCAGCACGAAGGCGGGCATGTTGTTGACCAACACTCCGCGTTGAGCAAATGATGGTGCGACGCTGAAAGAAGCCGGCATATGACTCACAATGGAGAATCAAAGGGAAAGTCGAAGATTAAATGAAACCCATAATGGTAAAAGAAGTAGTAAGAATACTAGCAACAATAAGAACAGTAATAAGAAACCAGGCACTATTTCAAGCACTGTTTCAGTTCGGCATCGGGTGTGCGCAGTACTGAAGAGCAGGTCTTCCGACCCTTCAAAGCTTAAGAGGCTTTTAGACACCGAGAATTCCAACAGACCCCGAACCCTAAACTCTAAGCCCTAGATAGTAGTTTCCAGTTTCTTGTCCGCTATTCCCTGAATAACCCCAATATTAGAAAACCCAGGGGCTCAAGAAACTGGAGGCTTGCTGAAGCCCAGGTAGAGCCCAAAGTGGGGCTCGCACAGTAGATGTGGGTTTCAAATAAATTTGCAAAATACATGTTTAGGGTTTAAGGTTTGGAGTTTAGGGTCTCGGGTTTAGGCATTGCTTGCTCTGACGAAATTCTAGATTTGCAAATTAGCTGTGCAATTACTGGGTGGCTGGCAAGGAACTTACGTTAAGTTATTATATTGGGGAAACCCTATAAGTGATATATATATATATACCCAGTATGGTAACTTAGATGAAGTTCCTTAACAGCAACACAGATTAGGGAATTGCAGCCAAAAACCGGGCAAACAAAGCTTGTAGTGAAGGAACTGCACCAAAATCAAAATGAAGGGTTCCCCCAAAAATCGGGGTACCTTTTTGAGGGTCTCTATAATAAGCCATATAGCATTTTGGGGTCTATAATGAGGTCCCTTTTTGGGGGAAACTACCAAACAGTCATAATAAGTCTCAGAAGAAATACGAATTGATTACGACTACACTGTTCAGGGTCTACGGACTGAATTCGCCAAGCTGGTCACGCTGTCTCATCTTCAACAACATCATGCCCTTGTCTAACAGAAGGAGGGCTTTAGTTGCCCCAACCCCCATACTAGGGACTTCTCATAGCTATCGTACGACTAGAAACCCTAAACTCTAGAATAGGGTCCTAAATCCAGGGGTTGGGGTAACTATGGTCCCCTTATTGACTAAGGTTGATGCGCTCCATCGCCCGTCTATGAATCTCTGGACCCTTGGGATCTACATCTATCAGGAAGCTTTTGAGGCTGACCCGCGCCTCAGCTCAATGCCCTAATAGGGTCTATGGCTTGAATATCATCCCAGGTACGGAAGATCACATGGAAAAGCAAATGGACGATGAAATGGGCACTAAGGTTTATTGGAATATGTAGGGTTTGGGGTTCAGGAAGATGCTCAGCCATTTCCTCTCAGGAGTGTGTCTTCATGTTGGGGTGGTGGTTACCTGCCCCAGCTTTGCTGTTACGCGCGCGTTTCGGAGCAGCGGCGTGTGTGGTGCTTCTCCTCGGGGCCCGAGGCTGAACCTTGGCGATGTCTTAGACTCCTTAGTTTCGGGCTTAGGGTTTAGGGAGTTTGTGCTTCTAAGAGGGGATAAAGGAAGAGAAGATGGAAAGTGCGATGCTATGATGGGGTATATATGTATGGTAACAGGGCCTCCTGTGATCCATCTTTACTGCTTTACTTTCCAAGATCGCTTTTTGGTAGGCCAAGCGCTCGTTTAGGTGAAGCCGCCATTGCTAAATCTAAGCCATGAACGCTAAAACCTCATCCGGAGTGCTTAGAGTAATTCTAAGCATGCGTCTTGAGCACTTGAGAACCAAGCGCTCGCTTAATTGCAACTGATATTGTGAAATTTAAGCCTTAAACCTCAAATCCTAAGCCGTAAATCGTAATGATTATAGCAGCTGTAAGCACTTGAGGGTCAAGTGTTCGTCCGGATGAAACTGATAGTACCAAGTAGGAGCCTTAAGCCTTAAACCTCCAAAGGCCCCAATATATGATTTTGAAGTAAAACAAAGTTAAGCTGGATCATAGGGGGCCCTGTTGGCATATGTATATAGGGGTCTCTATGTGGTTTATATGGAAAGGAATGTGAAACTATTCTTTAGAGTTGTGGAGGGGCACCTTGCTGAAGATGAGGGAGTGGGGCTTGGGAGTCTATAGTCCCCCTGAAATAGATAGAATATGGCTTGGGGTATATGATCATAACATCCCCATATACCCCATGATCTACCTACTTAAGGAGGGCTATAGGTCTTATTTGGGGACTTAGTATTTAGGCTGTTTCGGGGACGGCTTTATTCTTTGCCGATGAGCTCCCAGGTATTGGGAAGTGCTGAATAACCGGGAAGGAATAACTGGTGTGAGTTAAGGGTTAGGGTTTAGGGTCATTGTTGCCTGCTTCGGCTAATTGCAAAGGCAGAGTCTGCAAACTAAACCCCTATGTGGGATTCCCATACGTAATTTGTAGGTGCACAGATGAAAATCACAGGCCCAGATCCAACAGCGCTGTTGTTCGCCCTACCATCCTGGGCTGGCGCGCCGCTGACCTAGTGTTCAGGGTCTAGGGCTCAGGGTTTTAGGGTTTAGGTCTTAGATTTAGGGCTTTAGGACTTGAATTTGGGGTGTTTGGGTTTTAGGGTTTTATGGTTTAGGGTTTAGGCTGTGCAATTCTCGGAGGACCCCCAAGTTGTTTACCGTGGTAATCATAGAGGGGTGGCTACATATATCCCTAGATCTACTACTTTTTCTGGTGGATGCCGACACCAATGAAATACCCAAATATGGATATTCTGTAGATCATGGTATCTCTTTTCCATTGCGCCTTCATTCCACCCTAAACTCGAAACCCTAAACCCGGGGTTCTGTCTTGATGGTAAAATCCTAAGGGTCCAAGGACTGAGATATTTGGGTATTAGGGCCCAAAGACCATTAAAGTTACAGCATGGCCTCTAAAACCCTATTAACTATTTGACCCTTATATAGTCCCCATATATCTCTATATATCCCGCTGGAACCCTTCAAAAGTTAAAAGGACCCTACCGTTTGGGTCCCTGGACCCTTAGAAAAGGAATGAATGTGCTCAGTCAGCTTAAGGGCTCCGGAATGAAGCTTAGCATTTTAGGGCTTATGGGGTTTATAGGGTTTATGGGGTTTATGGGGTTTAGGGTTTAGGGTGTAGGTGGGGTTCAACGTTTTAACGGAATAGTCGGGGTTCGGGAGGTGATCTTCGTAGGCTGTATTTACTGTTGCAAGCCGGACTGGATGCTACGACCGCTGTACCTGTCTTGCGTGCTTTTGCGGGTTCTGAAGCCGAGGGCTGGAGCGTGGTGACATTTGGGGGTTGTCAGCATTGTTGTCCCCATTATGGGCACCCCCAAGATGAAGGGCTGAATTATCCTAGGCACCCAAAATAAGGAACGACCTTTTTGACAACCCCCCCCCTCATTTGGGGTTTCAAGTCACGCTTTCGTCACCATCCTCTGGACAATCAAAGGGGCTGGAGTCTCCTTTGCTGTCATGGGGTGTTTGTGGTTACTATTTGGGGTCCACATCGGTCCACGTCAGTTGAAACGGAATCTCCAGATTTTGTGATCACTGATTCAGGACACCACGCCTTACTTGCTGAAAGCTAAAAGGGAATGAGGAAGATGATGGACAACCACGCGAAAAAATACAAATCATTTGGAGGTTATATAACGGGGATCAACTTCTCCATTCTCTACTAACAGCCCGTAAACGTAGCCAGAGGCAAGGCCTTTGCTTGAGGCTCGCTACCTCCGGTAGCAGTCCCCGGCCTTCCCAGTGTGCCTGGGCGTGGGCCTCCCACGTCCGTCCACATCTTCCTGCAGACCTACCACAAGGTGCACGGCTTAGGGTTTAGAGTTTATTAAAGCCCTTAAGGCCAAGCCCTAAACCCTAAACCCTAAAGTTTAGGGGTTTACAGTTTAGGGCTTAGGCAAGGCTTGGGGATTGCTCAGAGCTCGTTTGAGTCTGACCATTGGCGGATCGTAAGTTAATGCGCAAGGACTACAACCCCATAGTTGCTTATCACCAAAGAGGGCTTAGGGTTTATATTGGGATAATGGAAAAAGAACATGGAAGCTACCATAGTAGAATGGGGTGTATATAAAACAACTAGACCCATGGAGCGCGCCTTGCAGGACAAGTTCGCCCTCTTGCCCATTTTGACATCCGTGGAGATCTTCTGGCCCAAAGAATGAAACTCAACGGTGTTCCTAGCGGTGGATGCTGGGCCGGAGGACGAAATGCTCTGCTCCGAGATTGTGGGCCGTGCCAAGTGCATTGTGCCAGAAGCGGTCTTTCGGGAAAGATATTTGGTTGATTCGCTTGCGCAAAGCGGTAGATCTACAAGCCGCCGGTACCATGAGCAGTTGCTTCAATATCATTATCTCTTGTCTGACCAGCAACTTGACTCTCCGGGACGGCCAGAGGGGCTTGCCGGTTTGTTTTCTGGTGTTCGCCCGTACAGAATCTCCACTAATATGTACCTCCAAATTCGCTTTAAGATATGCTTTTTTGGGATTTAGGACTCAGGGCTTAGGGTTTGGGGTGTGGGGTCTTGGGGTTTGCCTGGGCTCCCTCAGGGCCCCCGTGTCTTGAGAATTCCTCAGGTACATCGCTCACACACACGGTCTGCCTGACTGGATCGCCTGGTTCGATGCAGACGTCAGGACCTTATCTATCCATCGATCTATTTTTCTCTATCTAGCTATCCATTTATTTATCTACATATTTTACATATATATATATACCATAGACACTTATACGTGACCCTAAACCCAAACATGTGTATAATGTATAACTAATGTAGGTTTATTCGGATCCTCTGTAGTTGCTGTGCTGCTACATCCCGAGGTTGTGCTGCACACGCACCAGATACCAGACCTCTTGTTCCAGAACGGGCGGCCGGTGCTTCACGCGCGGCGAGCACCAGTCAACACCATGACTGCCATGTCTGCGGGGATGGACTGGATAGCCAGCAGCCAAGTCGGGGCTCTCTTTTTAGTGGTTTTGTGCGCAGCTTGTGCACTCAGGGTGAGTTTATGGACACTTATCCCATGCTCGTGCGCCCAGCGCACCTGCAGAGCTTCCGTCAGTTCATCCAGAATCAGTTTCAGGACGGGCTGTTGAGGGCTGGTTCCGGCAAGCTAGTATACGTCTGCTGCCAGAACTGCAGGAGCCGTCCTTTGAGGCCGCCTACCAAAAATGGCGCGCCCGAACAGAAGAGGCTGCGCTATTGCACGCACGCTACGCATGGTACCTGGCAGAGGGGGAGTGCACCTCAGCTGCATTTTTGGGGCTTAGGTTTGAAGGTTTAGGATTTCGCGTAAGATTGAACTGAGCACTGCCGCAGTCTGAGCGCTTGTCCCTTATTGTGTACCGTCCTCTGAACATGCAAGTGTGAGCAAAGGTCCTCAGAGTGCACTGCCGATTTTCCTGCCACCTGGCGTTGCGAGGAGTTGCAGTCTGACATGACTGGAGCCCTCCCCTTACAATTACCGCCTCATGCACGAAGCTCAGGTACTATTACCATCGGGAGGATTACTTCTGGTCAATGGAAGATGCAGCCTCTACGTGACCCAGTAGTACCTTTTTTTGTGGTCTCGTTATTCAAGTTGCTGAGCTATTTGAAGTGACTTCACCCCGCCTCACCCTAAATGGTGGTTTATTTAGGGAATAGTACCCAAATGGCCTTAAATTGGGAATCTGATCTACATTACCCTGAAGTTGGACATTAGAAAAAGGGTACTCTTATTATTAAAGGGTTGCTGAGGAACTGAGGTTTTGTTCGGGCTGCCAGCAGAGGACTTGCTAAGCACTCTAAAAGTCTGCTTCCATTTCATCGCGCATTCTGTTTTCCATTTGATTCTCTACTATTCTAGCTACCTACTGGTAGTGAGGAAGAAGGCAATATCATCCCTATATAATCTCTAATTATATAATAGGTTCCCTTTTGGCCTACTCCTAGTAAAGTCTCTGAACACACAAGCGGCTGCGCGTCAGTTGATGTTTCTGGAGGACTCCTGCCCGGCTTTCCGCGTGGCCTCTCATGTCCGCTCCTGGAAAGCCAAGGTGAAGAATGGAACGATGTCCACACCTTGGCTCGCCGTCGCACGCTGGTATCATCGCATTGCCCTGCAAAACCCCAAAAGCGCCACAAGTTTGACTGCAACAGTCTCTATTAGGTCTATTAGCTATTAGGGATCTCATTAAGGGCTCTATATATTTATATTCTAAAAGGCACCGCAAGTTTGACAACCATCCACCAGTCATCGTGCATCAAGGCATTCGATTATGTCCCTCGGCTGGGATGTGTCCGCCATGTGCTTCTCCAAACTGGCGCATGTATGCGATCATGTGGTGGCCCTGACTCCCCAACTAGGACGTTTGCAGGGGGGAGTACTTTGGGTGCTATTAGTATACCCACACAAAAGACTCCCAAGAAAACCAGGGTGTGCGGTCCCAGCAGCTGATCCAAGCGGGCCAGCGAAAGTGGAAAGTGCTCCACGTCGCTTTGCTGAGTGCCAACTTCGAGACAGAACTTTGGCTGCAATAGGCGTGGCACCACACCGTTGGAAGCATGATCAAACAAACAGCTGCAATGCGCCTCGAGGCCTCAGCGTGGACCCAGCAAGCCTCTGCGGCATGCTCAGAGAAAGTGCAGCAAAACCTACAGCAGAAGAGTCAAAACTGTTCGGGGCACACTGCAACTTGCGGGACAGAGAAAGCATGCTGCGGGTTTACTTCGACCAATGGCCGTCATAACATGGCGATCCAGCTTGCAGAAGGCATGCGCAAAAAGGTTGCCCGTGTGCAGACGGCATGAGGTGGCACATGAGCTATACTCTAATCTCCCAGTATCCTCCTCAAGCGCTATAGTGGTCCCCTATATAACCCCCTGTAAGGAGTTTAGATTATGGTTCGCATGACAAGAGCCTTGTCCTTCCAAGCGTGCTCAACTCATGATCAATGGCGGCATGGCTTGTACCCGCCTTCCTAGGCTGCTGTTAAGGGAATTGAGTTAAGTTACCATAATATAGTACAGGGCTTCGGATTTAGGGTTACCATGATATGGGTATATAGTCTCATGATATAGGGTTGCCTTATTCTAGTAACTTGATTTAGGTTCCTTAGCAGCAACCCAGGGTTCCTGCATAGGTGTTCCCTAAACCCTACACTCTAAACCCTAAACCCTATCCTGCATAGGTGTTCCTGGATCCCGATGGTTCTCTTCACGGTGCATCCTTGTGGCTCTCCATGACACCGCCACAGGCAGAGCATAGCATGAAACTTCTTAGCTGCATGGGCAATACTAACAATTTAACTGCAGTTGCATTGCCAAAAAATATTCAGGGTTTACGGGCTTAGGGATTGAGGGATTGGGTTTTAGCAACGGAGTGATAACAATAGTAAGAATATTTGCAATGACAGCAGTAGCCCCCATAGGATAGTAATGACGATTGAGACTGCCTCGGAAAAGATTCCCGCAGCTAAGCACAGCCAGGCATCTCGCCAGTTCCTGCATTCCTTTGACATATGCCTGCCGGATGAGGCAGGTGACTTCAGGGTTTGAGGGCTTTGGGCAGGTGATTCCAGCTGTTTGCTGAATGATAGGAAAGCTTCCTGGGCTTCATAAGGATTGATGGACACTACCCTCACCCACCACTTCCCACCGCAGTTTAGGGCTATTCAGGAATCAATTGGGCCTCGTTTGGCGGGTGGGGGGTGTGTTCGGGTGTCCGCAGCATACAACCCTATGATGAAACACCCAAAACACTAACCTCTATGTGACCCGCTTATAGATTCTAAACCCTCTGTACACCCGGAACCCTATAGAACTCTATCTCAACCTTCAGAACCTATGTGAGTTAGCAAGACCTGTGCCCGTATTGGATGATACTACCACCAGCCACCATTAACCCACCCATTGGAAGCTTATTCCTATACCTCCCCCTACATCTTACCTGAAAATCCCTATTACTTCCCCAACCCCATTACATCTCACCCAAATATCACAACTTCTTCCCCATTTCCGATACCAGTGTAGCCATTTACCCCATCCGTAATCCCAAAGGTGATGTGATCATCCCATTACCAGGTTTGGGGTGTAGGGTTTAGGGTTTAGGGTTGTAATCATAATATACTCAAAACGCAAAGCCTCTTATCGAACAAAAGCATATCATACTTTCACCGTCATTTGATGATATGATTTCTCTCAGTGGCCTCTCCACATACATGCCAACATACCATGTCTACAAGCATGACGAAAACAGCGCTCCTTGTGGTCAATCAAGTTAATCAAGTTAGGTTTAGGCAAATCTTCTCAAAACATGGATCTTCTAGTTTTCAGATAATTAATATTGACGTGTGTATGACGTATTGTGTTGCGCTTTCTTGTATTTGTTGGTCTCGTCTTTGCAAAGTGGAAGGGCAACCATCTCTTCCTTTGTACACATTGAGTCTATCTTCTACTCTCTCATTGATTGTGTCTCTGGTTTGCTCTCTTCTCTTTCAACGACTTTTGTCTTTGTCTCTTGCTCTATGTCTCTTGCTCTCTGCAAGCATTACACCTCTTGCATGTGCCATCAAACTTTTCACCTTTCTGCATTGTTTGACATGCGCTGCAATTGTTGTTTCAACCTCTGCCGTCTTATATGTAAGCAGTGTTTCTTTAAGTAGACACGCGTCCTTTTTCATTTAACTTGCTCCCTCTTTTTCTTACAGTATTCTCTCATAACTAGTATCCAGACATCCACAACAAGTCACTTTGTGTTTTTATTGCATTCCATACCTACCCTTGTTTGAAGAAGAATATCGTTGAAAATGCACCGAATTCTTCCATTCTTTACATCTAACACCCTGCCGATCGTAATGAGAAGGATAATAATCAGTTTCAAAATCCATGGTTATCTTATCAGCATATATTGTCATATTATACTATTTTCCAATATTGCCATGATTTAAGACTTATGACAAGACTGTAAAGTCCAGAAGATTTCACGAAACGAATTAAGCATTATCAAGATGTTACCTTCAGGACGTCAGCAAGAACGGAGTCCCCGTATGCACCAACACCCTTGAGTCTTTCTAGCCGGTGGACAGGCATTGTCTGCTAGACACATTCTATCAGAAAGCCTGTGCCCATTTGAGGATGATAACTCAACCCTGGGGTTGTTTCAGTCCAGTGGTCATATAACAACGATACTTGTCTCGTAGTGGGGCAGTGCTCGTGATAGTTGGGTGAGATAGGGGGAGGATAGGGTTAACCCTGTCACATGGAGGAGTTATTCGGTTATTCTTCTGCTGGTATTGGTAATGGGAAATAGAGGGACATTTGCGTGAGATGTAGGGGGGAGTATAGGAATAATCCTTTGATGGGTGGGTTAGTGGTAGATTGGTGGTAGTATCACCCAAAACAGGCAAAGGTTCCGCTAACCCCATGAAACCCTAACCCCTATATGTAGACCCTAATCCTGACTGGAATTTCAGGTTGAGATTCCAGCCAACACGAAAGCTGCGTGCCTGCCTCAGGTGCTCAGCTACAAGATGTTGGGATTTCTCAAGGTTTCGGGTTTAGGGTCTAGGGTTCGGGAACCTATGGGCATACGGACAGGAGGTGCTAGGAATTGTATAGCTAAATGCGGGGCTCATTGTGTGTGCTCCACATGCTGTCACCCACAGTACAAGATCCACCAAGAAGACCCAACATTTTGAGAAGAGCCCATATAATTGATGCAGCGCCTTTACGCAAAGTTGCAGCGCTTCATCCCTGAACACCCTAAATCCCAAGCCCTAAACCCTGAATCCTAAACCCTCAATCCTAAACCCTGAATCCTGAACCCTAAGCCCTAAAATCTAAACCCTGAACCCATATAGTCCCTCTTAAGTAGATAGAATATGGCTTTGGGATATATTATAATAAGATCCCCATATACCCCATATTCTATCTACTTAAGGAGGACTATAACTCTAGG